CACACACACACACGAAGTGTCATTCATCCATACGCACCAGCACGTAGTGATCGACGACAATGATGGGGATGGCACCCGCAGCCATGATCTATGAGGCATGAAAGGGGGTGACAGGAGATGGAAGGTGGGTGAGAGCACGAACACGACCGAAATCGTCTGCAACACACACACACACACACACACACACACACACACACACACACAGACACACACACACACACAACACACACACACACACACCTGCAGGAGTGGTAGCCAAATCCTTCAACAATAAGCCCGATCTTGGTCTCCAACGCCAGCTCCGTGCGTGTGTACTTGTTGAACTCTTCCTCTGCCTGCTGACACGAGGGGCCATCCCCAACCTTACCCCTCACGGCCCATGCGCTCTTCGCCAAACCACCGGCACGCACACACCAACACAATGTCCCTGCGCATACACAAGCAAACACAAGCGATGTGTGTGTGCGTGTGTGTGCGTGTGTGAGTTGGATCCAGACGGACACGCAACACAGCACCAAAATCTGTTGACTCCGAGGCAACACACAACACACGCACATGGAACACATGAACACACAACACTCGCACACGTAGCACGACACACCTGCCGTTGTGCAGCTTGGGGAGGTGGTTGCGCATGGCATCAAGAACGAGCAGACTTGGTAGTGCCCCTGTACAACAGGGAAAGAAGACACATGTGAAGCAGCGGCAGCACAACAGGTTGGAATGAGATTGCAGGGACACAAGAAGCGCGAGTGGTGGTGCAGTGAGCGACACCAACCCCTCAAAACCCAGCAGCAGCAGCAGGGAACATCGAACCCCACACATCGCACCACGTCACACCACACACGCATGCATGCATGCACACACCTGAAGGTGACGAGGTATTGCCTGTTTGCGCGGGTGGAACGCGTCGCTGCTCCGGTGTGAATGAATGTCACCATGGAGAAGAGTGACATGGACACACCGAGGCTGTGACGGTCGTGGAATGCACTGAAGTGGTGTGATGAGATGGAACAGACGGGATTGGTGAAGCGTGTAAGCATCAGCAGTCGCACATGGTGCGTGCCAACCCATATGCACTTCTGTTCCAACACACACACACACACACACACACACACACACACACACACACACACACACACACACACACATCCCTGCGTCAGTACCGCGGATCAACGAGGAGGACATGATGGACGAGCAAGGGCATGCGACACAGCAAGCCGTTGCCAGCCAACACACCCACCACCATACCACATCTGGAACAGACAGCATGGTTGTGTTCACCGCACTTGCGGCTGAATCGACGATGAGGATGGATGGCGAGTTGCATGGAATGCCGTGGCAGGAAAAACGCCATTGTCCGCAGCCACGCCGCTGATCCACTTGCATCCGCCCTGCAGCAGTTCATCAAGCGTGGTGGTGTCTGTTGTGCTCATGCTGCGATCAATGGTCAGACACGTAGAGGAGGGTTGTTGTGAGCCAGCACGCACACCGCCTGCAGTGCCCACATGGCTCAACCGGCTTGCAGACTGTTGATGGTGGTCGTGTCAACCACTGCTGTTGTCACTGCTGTTGTTGCTGTCACTGCTGTCACTGCTGCTGCTGATGGGCTGATGATGAGCACAGAGGTGGTGGGAGTTGCATCAGAGGGATGCCGTGGATGAGGCCGGTGCTGGTAACGACGCCACAATCACCAATCGCAGTTGCCAGTGCCCTTGCCGAGTGCATCTTGGATGCTGTTGCCAGACGGTGGGCTGATTGACAGTGTTTGTGGCTTGTGTCACACATGTATGCAACGGGCCAAGACGGAGACCTGTTGGTGGTTGTTCACTGCCTGCTGGCTGGCTGGCTTGCCGTGCACTTGTCGTGCTTTTGTCCCGGTCGCAAGCAGCACAGCAGTTGGTACCCCCTTCCCTTTCGTTCCTCCACGCAGAGCACTGCTCCTTGTCAAGCCGTTCACCCCTGCGTGTGCGTGCGTGCATGTGCGTGCTTGTACGTGCTTGTGCGTGCCTGTGTGTTTGCCTTCCATCACAGCAACAGCAGTGAACCCCTTTCAACAACAAAGAAGAAAGTGCTGACTCGGCACAATTCTGTTTGTGTTTGTGTTTTGTGGGGAAGAAGACAAGAAGGAAGATGCGTGCAACGGCAGTGACAGTGCTGCTGTGGTGGGTTGGTGGCAGTGTGCTGTGTGCTGTTCAGCCACTGTGGCGAGCGTCGTCTCAAGCTCAAGTTCAATGCACCAAGATCAAGGTGTGTGTGTGTGTGTGTGTGCGTGTGTGTGCGTGTGTGTGTGTGTGTGTGTGTGTGG